AAAGCGCAGAGCTAAATTTTGGACCCTTTCTATTTTCTTAATCAAATATTGTTGCCAAGGGCTCCAAATAATGTCGGCATACTCCAATTTTGGTCGCACGAGGGCTTTATACGCTTTTAGTTTTAACGTGGGAGGAGTGTTACGCAGTTTTCTTTTCAAAAAGGATAATTTCTTCAGTGCACCCGAACACACATTTTCAACGTGCGTTTCCCAACTGAGGTTACTGGTAAGTGTAACTCCCAGATATTTAACCCGATCAGCTCTGGTGATTGCAGCATTTCCTATGAAATATGTGAAATGAAGGGGTAATGTTTTGTTGGTAAACGTAACGGAATTTGTTTTTGAACGATTTATTTTTAGTCCCCACCTTATACACCATTCGTTAATTGAGCGCAAGGCATCATTAAGTTTAATTTGGTCTTCTTGGTTATTTATGGATGTGTACACTACGCAGTCGTCCGCAAATAGTTTAATCTGGATCGGTGGCTCGACACAGAAATAAATATCATTAATATAAACCAAAAAAAGAAGAGGTCCGAGGACTGAGCCCTGCGGAACTCCCGAATGCACTGCCAACTCTTTTGAGAGACAGCCATTTATGGTAACACACTGTCTCCTGTTACTCAAGTAGCTCGCGATCCATGCTACAACCTTCTGCTCAATGCCTATAGCTAATAATTTTGTTATTAAATTCTGATGGGGTACGACGTCAAAGGCCTTAGAAAAATCCAAAAATATGGCATCGGTTTGACCTTTCAAACTAAGCGTTCTAATTAAATCATCAGTTATTTCAGCCAGTTGGGTGACGGTCGACAAACCAGACCTAAATCCATGCTGCTGGGCATACAGTAGTTTGTTATTTTCTAAGTAAGTGATCATGGCCTTAAATATAATGTGCTCAAATAATTTACAGCAAGTACTAGTTAAGGAAACAGGCCTGTAATTGTTAACTTCCAAAGTGGAGCCCGATTTATGTACCGGAATTATTTTTGCCGAGCGCCAGTCATCAGGAATAACTGCAGCGTCTAACGATGCAGTGTAAATGCGATGTAAATATCTTGCCACCCAAACAGCATATCTACTCAAAAAAGTATTAGATAGTCCGTCCGGACCAGGTGATTTCTTACATCTAGTTTGTGTAAAAGGCAAAGGACTCCATCCTCAGTGATTTCCACTTCTGGCATGAGGCTATCAGAGTCATATGACCGCAACTGAGCATGCGTGGCTGTCCGTGTAAAAACGGACTGGAAAAAGACATTAAATTTGTTGGCAATGGTAGTCGCGTCAACAATACTTTCTCCCTCGACCCTGATCTCTGAAATGCCTCGTTTATCTTTTGACAGATAGCGCCAGAATTTTTGGGGTTCATTCTTCATGAATGACGGTAGAGTATCTGAAAAAAATCTTTCCTTTGCCGATCGCGTTAGTTCTCGCAGCTTAGAAGTAAGGTTTGAAAAATCACTCGTGTTCTGACGCTTGCGCTGACGCTTAATTTTGCGTTTCAAATGAATCATTTCTCTCGTGAACCACGGATATTCCCTATTAACTCGTTTCTTTTTTAATGGCACATATCTTTGCTCGCAAAAGAGAACAATTTCTTAAAATTTGACCACATTTCATTGACAATATTAACTTGGCTAAAACAATCAAAGCGCGATTCCAAATATTCTAAAATAGCGTTATCATCCGCATGAGTGTAATCTCTCACGAAAGTATCCGACGGTCTAGTAAATGAACGTGTTCCCGAAACAAGACATGACACAGCAAGCAACTTGTGATCAGATATTCCTTCTTCTACATTGGCTGAACAACCTTGGAACGAGCTGCTAACCAGTGCAAATCAGGAGGATGATGAAGCCTAGTAGCCCTCGAGCTGCTAACCAGTGCCAAATCAAGGAGGGATGAGCCTCAGAAACTAGTTGTTGTAAGCAGAAGTTGAATGCGGTCGTAATCAGTATATCTGCACTTCGAGATTCTTTGCCATCATAAGAAAAATCAGCCCAGTTTATACCCGGTAGGTTGAAATCTCCTGTTATTATAATCCGGGATCGAGAATTTGTATTATCTGCAAGGTAGTCTTGAATGGCTTCTATGTATTCGGGCGAAGAACTCGGTGGTCGATACATGCCCCTTAAAAGTATTCTTTTACCAAGAAATTTAATTCTGCACCACACGCTTTCGTGGTTGTTGATGCCATCCAAAACAGTAAATGCGACGTTATTTTTAATAGCGATTGCTACTCCTCCCCCGCGTGACTCCCTATCTTTACGAATAAGCTTGTAAGAAGACGGTATGACTTCCGAATCTTGCACATCTGCATGTAGCCATGTCTCAGTGATTACTAAGACGTGTGGCTGGTAACAGGAGATAACGTCTTAAAGGGAACTGGCTTTGTTAACAACACTACGCGCATTCAGTGAAACAACTCTGAGAACTTTGCTCACAGGCTGTCATTTTTTACTGCTGCTTCTCGTGTTCACTCAGGTGAACACGAGAAGCAGCAGGTTGTTGCAGAATGACCAGAATTCCGCCGGGCCTGCGCATCACGTCGTGTAACTTCCAGTCGTTGGCTTGAAAGCTCGTCCCAGATATAAACTTTATCGTCTACTTTCAGTTTATCAAACAAGAGTGAAACCTTTGCTCCATTGGTTTTTTCCACTGCTGCCGAATGCCACAACCTGCGGCGTAAGTCGCGAACTCTCTTGGAAAAATCTTCAGATATGGAAATCTGTGTTCCTTTTAGCTTGAAACAAGCCGACATAATTGTAGTTTTCTCAGAGTAATCAAATAGCCTTAACATAATAGGTCGGTGTTTCCCAGCACGTTTAAAACCTACTCTGTAGATGCGCTCTATCGAATTCACTTCGACGCCGAGTAAGTCCTTAAATACTTGTTGTTGAACCCTGTCTTGCAGAGATTTGTTATCTTCTTTTGATTCTTCACTTAAACCATAAATCATCAAGTTGTTTCTTCGACTTCGGTTTTCAAGGTCATCAACTTTAATCGTAAGCTCGTTCACTAGTTCCCTCGTCCCCTTGCACGCTGCTTCGTGCTCAACCAGCTTTTCCTCGCATTTTTGTAGCCGTCCAAGCTCTTTTTCAATCGACGCTATCCTTTCTTGAACACCACCTATAGTTTTTTCCACTTGTTTCAGGTTGGCAGAAAGCATGGTGAGCGTCTTATTGGTTTTGGTTTGCTCTCTTAAGATTTTTCTAAGAAGCTGACTGTTTACAGTAGCCTCGGATTCTGATTCCGAAGACGGACCTGGGTTCAGCTCCACGTCTCCCGATGCTAACAAGAGCAATCTAATGACAATCAAACAGTCACACAGCGAAACAAACAAACATTGTGGGCTTGGCAGCACTATCAAAGTAAGAGAATCGTCACGAATAGACTGATAGACAGGATATTTGTCACCAACCTGGACGAAAAAGCAGAAATGCATGAGCATCCGTCCGAAGAAGGTGCTGCCAAGCCCACTGAAAGGCCGCTGAAGATGGACCTTGGTTTTATAGCCTAGCTGGTCAGTGTCCGCTGACGTCGCACTGCGAACGTCATGGCGTCGACACAACACCTGAGGCGTAGCTTCCCATGATGATGTTCCATCGAGGCCTTGTCCCTGCGCATGCGCGATGGTACTGTCTTGCGGTGAGGCAATATCTGCAAATCCCACGGCGGCATCCGCCCGCAACAGGGCAATCTGGACGAAAAAGCAGAAATGCATGAGCGTCCGTCCGAAGAAGGTGCTGCCAAGCCCACTGAAAGGCCGCTGAAGATGGACCTTGGTTTTATAGCCTAGCTGGTCAGTGTCCGCTGACGTCACACTGTGAACGTCATGGCGTCGACACAACACCTGAGGCGTAGCTTCCCATGATGATGTTCCATCGAGGCCTTGTCCCTGCGCATGCGCGATGGTACTGTCTTGCGGTGAGGCAATATCTGCAAATCCCACGGTGGCATCCGCCCGCAACAGGGCAATCTGGACGAAAAAGCAGAAATGCATGAGCGTCCGTCTGAAGAAGGTGCTGCCAAGCCCACTGAAAGGCCGCTGAAGATGGACCTTGGTTTTATAGCCTAGCTGGTCAGTGTCCGCTGACGTCACACTGCGAACGTCATGGCGTCGACACAACACCATATATTTGCTATCACAATCAAAAGTACACTTATTTCTGTACTAATGTGTACATTGTTGGAAAAACAAATTGCATTTGTAAATCTCAAATCTCAATAGGAATCGCAAATGAAGGCTTGTTTGACTTTCGCACTTTCTAGCAGTTTGTATGGGAGAGAAGGACAAACTACCAATTTTTTTTGTCCTCATTACTGGCAGCGCTTAGACTTCACAAAAGCACTTCCATGACACCCAGCAGAAGTACAAGCACACACAGGTACTGCTCCGTAGATAGGGGATCTCGACTGCATGCAAGGACATTGAGGAGTGAGTGAATTCAGTATTTTAAACCTGGCAAGAGCAGTCTTGTGTAGCAAATGAGGGCAGCTGGTGTTGTAGTCGCATTCGAGAGAAGGAAAAAAAAAAATGGTGGAGCTAAAGTGCAGATGGCCTGCTAACAAACGCATGCAAAGGAATGAAAAGTACGATCAATTGCGTAGCAGGAAACAGCGCAGGTACAAAGGACAACAAAGACTTGGCCCTGGCTAACAGCAATAGCATTTTATTTTGTAGGTGCACAAATATACACGCTTCTTGGAAAACTGAAATAACGAAAACAGGGGAAGGGAGTGCAAGGCTCCACTGCTCCCTGCTATGAAGCGAAGCCAGCAAGCTCGTGTTTATACCCTTTTAAAGTACGATTGATTGACAGCAGATTAGTTTTTTGATGTGATCAGCCGGGAGGGGCAATCTGAGATTACTTTGTTTGAGACATTAAAAGCTGAGCACAGGATGACAGGGGAGTAGCTTGTAGGGCTGCACAGTGTTTTGAGATTGACAAGCACTTGGTGCCAATTTTCATTTAGGCTTGACCTGTTCTCTTTTGAAGGTGCGTGTTCTTCTTTACACTAGTCCGTGAGAATGGCGAGAAGACATTTTTCCACTGCCTGCAGACATCGCAGGTGAGACGCTTCGATATTTTTGCTTACCCTTTTTTCTGTGTTGGCTGCCCTGTATGCATTTCTGATTATATAAATCAATTTTACTGTAAGGCGCAATACTCATGAGTGTGGGCTTGCGCTTTGTATTGCAGGTATTTTTTTTTGCTTGCTCTATTGAAGATATGTTTGCCCCTCCATAGCACTGCTGTATGCAGCAACGAGTGGGAAATATACGTGAAATGTGCATTGCAGAAACAGTCATCAATAGGATCGTAGCTGTAAGCAAGCTATTGCACGCAACAAGGAAAAGCAAGCCCTGTACTGCAAAACTTTACTGCTCTTCAGTAGTGCATAGTACAATCGAACCCTTTTATAAGACGCACTGATATAAGAGACATAGAGATACCAGGCTGCCTGCATAGAAATAGGTGTTGAGAAGAAAACACATACGTGATACACTGCTTATGAGACACACTTCTCATGTAAGAGACAAGCAATGCTCCCTGGTGCATGCCTCTTATAAAGGGGTTTCGCTGTATTGTCATGCAAAAGCATGTTCCTGGTTCGCTTGTCTGTGCATGCAAAAACAATCTCAAAATCCAGTGATAGCAAACACAAACTTCATCACTAGAAATTTCACTCTAAATAACACATATGCACTGAAGAAGAAAAAGTTTTAATAAATACCCTGCACCAAAACGTCTGCTGTAGCTTGTTCAGGCATTCATGTAGTTTGTCGGTAATCCCTTTTAAGTCCTTCAGCATTAGGAAGCCATGCCAATTAACTTCAAGCTCTGTAGAGTAAACGCTGAACCAGCCGCTGCATAACCAAGGCTAGCTGTGGTCCCGTGATTTTTGAACAGCTGTTTGCTGAGACAGTTGCTAGAGCTTGTTGGGGTAAGACGCAATCAAGTATTCTGCGGCTGTCGACCTCTCGTATGCTGTGTCCTGGCCACCATGTTCTCTGGGTGCGCCCCTTTTCCAAGATTGTGTGTTCATGTGCTCTCTTCTTGTCTCTTTTTTCTTCCAATTCCCACTTTAAAATTCTTTACCTTTTTTAAAATGACTTCTTTCTCGCCCTCTTTTGTATTCTTTACCTGTTTTAAATGACTTCTTCCTCGCCCTCTTTCGTCCACCTTTTCATACCTGACAAGTATCCTCAATTGTTTTTCACACACTCAAGACAAACTTGCATGACTGTTGTATTTGGGTTCACCGATTCCATTAGTCTTTCCATAGAGGTTTTTTCTTTTACACATGAAAAGTGAGGACACATGCTTTGTAACGTATGCTGTCGGGCTAGTAAGTGTGTAACTGTGCAGAACAAAGTTGGCGCAAACTTAAAAGACGAAAGAAGAGACTCGGAAAAGCGCACACTCGCAACTGACTTTTATTGAATCGAAGCTCGTTTTATAAAACCCTCACGCATGCGTACAACCACAAGAAGAGACCAACCAACTATAATCACAATCTATCAGATAGAAAATCAAATCCATTATCATACAATGACAGAGATGGAACGCTGATACATTGTTCCCCAAATTGTCTAATAAACATCGCCTCTGCCAATTCACGTGAAACTTTGTCTTTGCTTCGTAGCAATATTCTCATATGGTGCAGTAGCCATTCACACGAGCATTCCTTACAATGATGCGGCAAATGCGAACCCGTGCCGTTTCTCATTGACAGTGCATGTTCCCTTAAGCGATCGTTTATACAACAGCCCGACTGGCCAATGTACACCGTGCCACAACTGAGCAGGATCAAGTAGACAATGCCTACCAAACAATTCAAAAACTTTTTTTTGTGCTTCCTTAAACAACGAGCACTTGGTACGCCACACGAACGGCGATTCTGGCACAAAGGAAAAAACACAGAAGCAACCTGTTGTCATTTTGTATGTGCACAGAGTGGCTCATTCATTGAAGCACATCGCCTCTCGTTTTGAGGTCCCTGTCATGTTCTTGACACCTCGGAGGCTTTCGCGCATTTGTACTTGTTCGTGTGGTGTACCAAGTGCTCATTGTTATGATGTTATTGCTCATTGTTAGACTGGTATGATGTGTACGGTAAGGGCTTTTTCCTAGCGTGCGGACAGTACGCAGAACAAGTATGCTGGTACACGAAAATCGGCTTAAAATCTATGAACTGAAGTACTGCTTCCTGTGGTAGCTTCTAAGTAAAACATAGACCCTTCCCATACTTGTTGAATTTCAGTGAAACAGATAACTGAGCGAGTTGGTATGTATCTATACTATAACTTTTTTAGTGCGCACGGAATACAGAACAAATAAAGGGAAAGATAAGGGCTCGTCTGTCTCTTTTTTGTTCTCTATTTTGTGCGCGCTAAAAAAGTTATAATTTGTCAAACTTCATCAAAATGTTCTCCACATTTGTGCCTGTCGGTTTGTCCGAAACTACAAGGAAATCATCTTGTACCTGAAAATATTTAACCCTCTATCGTTTTTAAATGCCTCAAACAGATCCTGCTAAATGTAGCCTAACAAAAAAAAAGTTGCACACTACAGCGGCAATACATGATCCAATACAAGTGCCTTCTCTTTATAATCTCCTATCAAAACATATGAAAGTGTGTTTCGGATAAAACCCTAAAAGCGAGATGAAATTATCGACACTCAGACCTGTTGAATTCTCAAAATTACTCACTGCACAGCCTGTGGGTGTAAAGCATGATTTCAAGAGACTAACCCCCGTATTCACAAATGCTCCTTCACTGAAGGGCTCTCCTCGACTTGAAAAAGTCGATCGGAGCGCCATCTCTTGGCAGACAAAGTCACTGCTTATCGGCAATATTCTGCAGCGATTCTTGAGAAGCGCAGCGTCAATTTCAGTCGAGCAGCGGCGCAGTGCTCAACTCAGTCAAGTGAAGGATGGAATTCGAGTCGAGGAGCGTTTTTGAATACGGGGGTTAGATACTGGGGCATAGCAAAAACACGTGTGCTGGTGAAGTGTTGCAAGTGTTCCTCATCAACATGAAAAGTGATACCTGTATAAGTGAGGCCTCGGTATAGTTCTATGGGGCAAAAGTGGTCATTTTGATGAATAAGGTGCATTAGCACGTGATGTTCCTGGGCGTGTCTGCGCAGTGTGTGAGTCACGCCCATCACACAGCTACTTCAACTGGAACACGTGCTGTGCATCAGAGATACGCCTGGCGCAATAGGACAATTCAAAAGGAGCAGCCGACACGCCAGCCAGACAGTTGGTGACGGGCCGCTGTGCGTGCCTGTGGTGTGTGCCCTGCTGAGGCCTAGGTTATTGAGCATTGTCATGGCCCGAGCGTTTCATATAAATAAAGTGTTTTTTTAATGTTTTCTCACTAATGAATCTATGAGCTTTTCATCTGCGGTTTTCACTCCTCGGGGCTGACGGCCCGAACCCTTCATCTTGCGCTCAACGAGATTCTGCTGTCTGCGGCCATCCAGATAGAAGCAGCATTCGAGGACTGCAGGAGGCAATTTAGGGGCTGGACAAGATGATGGAGGCCTACTTTGAGGCGAAAGAAATTTCAGTCTATACTGTGACCGAGGGACGATGGCCGGTGCTTTTGGCTCGGAAAACGGTCATGCTCACAAGGGACCACAGAGACTACAAGAAGGTGTTTGGCGAAGGCTAGAGAGAAGAGGCCAGCGATGGTGAGAAGCTGAACGAAAGTGAAGTCAACCCTAATGGTGTACAGTGAAGAAGACCGCAGTGAGGTGGCAGTTTCTACGACTGCAGAGGCCTAAAACGTGAATCGCAAGGCCAAGGCTATCATGTGCGATACCGAGAACAGCGACATAGACAACAACAGTGAGTTCGAGGCCCCTGACGTGGAAGCGGGTGCAACTATTCGCATGCCAAAATGTGCCGCGGGTGTCGACGCCAAGACGCAGGCTGCAAAAAGTGTTGCAGCAGCAGTTGTGGCGGAGGCTGTGGACGATGCCTCTGAGGGTGGTAAAGCGGAACCCAAAAGGTCGCGGAGCGTAATTCTAAGCCAGCCTGCGATGCCGCAGTGACGACAGGGCTGGCAGCCATGGACAACGAGCCTTTCAATAAGCCCCAGGTGAGCGGCATGGCCAATGCAACGCGAACAGGCGATCGCACGGCAATCTTCTGTAAACATGATATTGGCGGCTCCCTTAAGGAGTCGCAGGATCTAGCCAAGTTTTCTGTGCCGGCAGCTACGGAGACGGCGGCTGCTAGGAAGAAGGTCGAGATTGGCGCCACAAAATCAAGACCTCCGGCAGCAAGGTCGACATCCTGGAGAAGTGCGACATCACGGGTCATACCGACGTCCGTGTCAAGATTTGCATCGATGGGGGATGAAAGCAAGACTGATGCTGTGGAAGACGAGATAGATAATCATGCTGAGCGAGCCCTTTCTCCACAGGCGGGAGTCATGTGTGGGAGTCACGCTCATCGCACAGCTGCTTCTACTGAAACACATGCTGCACACCAGAGATACACATGGCGCAATTGGACAGTTCAAAAGACTCATCCGACACGCCAGCCGGGCAGTTGGTGCCTGCGATGTGTGCCCTGCCGAGGCCTCGGTTAATGGGCAGTGTCATAGCCCGAGCATTTCATGTAATTCATATGTTACTTTGATGTTTTCTCACTAATAAATCTACGAGGTTTTCATCTGCAGTGTTCATTTCTTAGGGCTGACAGCCCGAACCCTTCAGCAGATATGTGCAGTTTGCCTATTTAACCGACGCCCTACAGTAAATTGATGCAGAGCATAGTTTACGCTCAATTTCTTTAGTGTTCCTTCTTTGTGGTGTTCTTTTCTATTTTAGCACAATTTCTCTTGCATAAAATCAACCAACTAGCCCCTCAAAACGCCCTGATTTCGGGAAAAAGTTCGAGGGGGGAGGGGAAGATGCAGGCACACCGCACTGCAATTGACACTTCTGATAAATAATTAATGAAATGGTGTAGGAACCGTACTGCTTTGGGATGTGTTGAGTGGTCATGAGTATAATTGTGTATCCAAGTAAGGGTGATAGTTGTGCTCAAGATGAGTAGATAGGACCATAAGTCATAAAAAAATGTGCAACTCACTCCAGCTTACTCAAGAAATATATGATGCACTCTGGACTCATTCAGACTCAGACTCATCAACATTTTCAAGGCGGACTCACTTGGACTCTCATGAAAACTTTCTTCAAGCGGACTCATTCGGACTCAAGCTCATCAAAATATTATTAGACTCAGCCATACTCATGGCATGATCTGAGTCTGAGTTAGTCGACTCATGAGTGAGTTCGCTGACCTATGCATATATTGATTGACGCAGTTGTGCAGGGTACACTCAATGTTTGTCTTCTTTCATAAGCAACATTGAATTGGTTACTTCCTATACCACACTTTTTAGTGGTTTCAGCAACAGAAAATGTAGGCATCACACTAAATTTTGAGTGGCAGTGGCGTTTGAAACTCGTTTCAAGTCCGATGTGGCAAAAATAGTGGAACTGGTGCAGCACAAGCAACGACCGGTTCTGTGCAGCTTTATGCACCTGGTGTATCATTTTGGTCTTCCGTATGGCCAAGGACTGTACATGCACAGTTAGGTATTGTGAAATAGAAATCGAATGTGGGCTAATTAATATTTGGAGAGATTAGTAAGCAATTTACATTAGAGGAAAAACTACACATGAAGAGACATGTTGTGTCACTTTCTCTTTTGTCATTGTTTCTGATCTAACAATTAGCTGCACAAGTACGAGATATGCCGAAGGAAAGGTGCTGCCTCTTTGGGCTTATGCTGTCCCGTTTGTATGCCAAGGAGGCTTGAAAATGATGGTAGATAGCATAAAAGTTTAACACGATAAAAAGATTGAAACTTGCTTAATATGTATTGATGGGCTAGTTTGTGAGCCTTGATCTTTTGATCAAGCAGCACACAGAACAATACAAAAAAAACACACAAACACATTAGGGACGCAAAAATCGGTTGCAGAACAGTGCTTGCGTTCTTTGCGTATGTGTTTTTTTTCATTCTTCTGTATGTTGCTTCATCAAAAACAACAATAAGAAGAATGAAGGTTGGGCATTATTCATTGAAAATCAATTTGAATAACTGAATCAGTGTTCTCTTTCTACAATGAACATATAGCAGCTGCAGCCAAAAGCTCTGACTACTGCCACTTTGTGAAGCAACGGTCACACCATGAAAACGAGGCACAACAGTTTTAATGCTGCTTAGTGGATGAGCTACAAAAACACCTTTGTCCTTGATGCAATGAAAATGAAAGTGCAAGTTAAATAAAGAACCATTCTTTTTTCTTCTTTTTTGACAAAGGTCTTGCAGAGCAGGATGATGCAGAGTCCTGTGGTGCTGTGTCTGGCATCGAGAGCATCAGCACCAGCCTTCTACCACAAGGTAGGAACGACATGTGCTTGCATGTACATGTGTATTATCAGAAGTGGACTGAGAGCCAAAATTGATTTATGACTTTGATCAGAAAAGCGAATCTTTTGTGAAACTAGTGTTGGAAAGGTAGTGAATGTGTGGCACTGCGGTACTGTAAAAACAAAGTCGATGGCTGGGGTACTTGCGATGCCTATACTTCAAGCCGAAAATAGATACCATAAGAAGTTAATTTTGAGGTAAGTATTGGATGTGAAATGCTGTAGTAACTGATGCTAAATGTGTCATCTCTGCAGTTACGTGGAACAAGGAGGTTCACCTACTAGAAATTCTTGGGCAAGTTTGTCTGGTTCGCTGAAAAAGATTTCGTGGTGCTAATCAAGGCACACATAAGGAAGCTTAGCATACACGTGCACATCTTGACACTGTGTGTGCATCTTTTTTCGGTGTGTGCCCCAAGATGATGTTCAGTATAAAAGGTTCTTGTGATCTCATCTGTGGATGCAACATTGTAAAAAAGCATTGCTACCTATGTCTATACAATTCTTTCTGCTCAGTCCCAGCAATGGCACATAGCATGAAAGACAACTAAGAGTGCTTTGAACTCGGATTGTAGCTGGACCAGTTGATGCTAGGGTGCCGAAAGGTTTTTGTTTCGTTCCACAAAAAAAAGTTCCGTTCTGTTTCTGTTCCGGAGCAAACAAACAAACACCGTAATGGTACCCCAACTGTAATGGTTCACAACATTACTTTTTATGAAATGAAAGTGTTAGAATACTTTAAAGTTTTAAATAATTGATAACTCAGTTGATAACTGATAATTGATAACTTCATAATGGAGAGGTGTCATGTCCCAAAACTATAATACTACTATAAGGGACTCTGCAAGAAACTTTGAAGCAAAGTAACAACAAAAACTTATTATTTATTTGTTCTCATATTTGAATCTCCCATTTTTTTTAAGTGAGCACGATTTCAAAAGCAGCAGATCATCGAGTGTACTCACCGACTATCAAAACTGCTGCTTCGACAAAACAAAATTCAGTGCAGAAAATGCCCTCTCCTCACTGACCTGTGTGGTTGACACACCAAGGGCCACTTGTGCTAACATGTGCAGCCCCGGCTGCCGCTCTTTGCAATCTTCCCAAAAGTTCGACACATTTCGGCTTCTTAGAAGGTGTGGTTTTTTGTCCATCATTTCTAGCATAAGTACGACGTCCACTAATCTTGGCTCACTTGTCAAACGCGATTTGGTGCCAGCTTCAGCTTCCTTCGTTTTCAGAAATGCTTCGAGGGTTTTTTCTGCTTCTTCTGAAGGGGGTGTAGTAGTGTTGCCTGGAATGCCACTGCTACATTGCTTTTGCTAAAGGGTTTGCTTCTAGGTCTTGACTAAGTGCATCCTCGCTTGATACTTTTGATGAGGTATGGGAAGAAGGCAATAGCGGTGGTCAATGTACAATGCAGTGCAGAAGATATTCGTACTGCAGAGATTTCATTCTTGTTTCTTCATGAACTGAACCAGGGCGTGTTCCAGTGGCAAGGGTATCACTGATGGTGTCATGGAACACATCAGCCAAGCACCATAAAAATCTCCTGTTTTCAGTTGTTCTGCCTGAAGCACCTTGGTGGCTTCTGGTGCTGGCTGAAGAGGTTGTATCAGTGTTTCTACTTTCGACCACACGCTGTCAGTCCAACTTGTGATCTCTTCATGTGGAAGGAAGTTCTTAGTGAAGTCCTTCAGTTCAGCTAACCTGGTCAGCATGTTCATCAATCTTTTTATCTTTGTTTTTATCATCTGTTATCTTTGTTATCTTTGTGTTATCTGTTATCTTTGTTTTTATCAGCATGTTCATCAATCTTTTTTTATCTAGACTAATGTTTGGTAGAGCTGTAATTTAGGATGTAGGGGTGCTTGGCGGAAGATCTTGTGGAGGTAACCAAGAAAGTGGTTGGTGTTATTAAAAATACATTTAATGTGAGAATGCCACGATAGATCATTTATCATGTAAACACCAAGGTATTTGTAGCTATTAACCTGCTCTAATTTAGTTCTGTTGAATGTGTAGTAGAAAAGTTTTGGAGTGATAGAAGAGCGTGCAATTGTCACTTGGTTACATTAAGATCTATTAACCACGTATTGCACCAATCAGAGACACTATTAGGATCAGCTTGGAGAAGTAATTTGTCGTCTTCATTAGTTATTCTGGGGTACGGAATGCAGTCGTGTGCAAACAGTTTTATGGATGATTTAATATTACTTTCTAGATCATTGATGTAAACTAAAAAAAAGTAAAGGACCCAAAACGAAACCATGTGGTACGCAAGATCTAACTGCACAGGGTTTTGAGGAACAATTATTAGCGGTTATTGTTGCGGTTAGTAAGAAAAGATTTGATTCATTTCAGAGTGTTTAGGTCGATATTCAGTGCGCTAAGCTTAAGCAGTAGTGATTGGTGTGAAACTTTATCGAAGGCTTTCACAAAGTCTAGAAAAATGCTATCAACCAATAGGCTTATGGCAAAATAAGGGAAGCTGTCAGCGATGTGTGAAAGTATCGAACACTAAAAGGGATAGAACTGCTTAAAAAGAGTAGTTGGGATGATTCACCTATAGGTTGTAGTGAACAGTCTTCTGTAAGAATTTGCGGAAAGATGTGCATACTAGCCGTTCGGTCATGCTACAGTGTAGAAGTCCAAGCACAAAAGCTTTAATAAGTTCGCTCTTTGGAAACACCTGTAAGTTGACTTTCTGGCAAGAACATTTTCCATGAGAACCCCTCGTTCCGAAACAGTTTTACTAGTTTTTTTTAGGGGTATGCAATTATTAAGATTTTCTCATATGAATTGAATACAAATACATAGCTTCGAATATGAATCAAATATCGAATAATGAAAAGATGCAATTTTTTTGCACCAGTAATCTTTTACTCAATTGTTACTATAGTCAGTTATTGTGCACAAAAATGAAAAAAATGTCACCATCTGTATTTGCCAGAAAGCACAAGACTGTAATAGTTGAGCTTGTGACTGTTGTGTCTTGGATTCAATCCACATCATGAACAAACCTCTTGCACTTTTTTTATTACAAAAAAAAAAAGAAAAGCTTTCCTACCTGCTATGATGACCAGTGAGATTGAGGTCACTGGTTTGAATATGTAACACTTATCACTTGTGTACTTAAATCTAAGCAATTATTAAAGCAGTCCCAGTGGTCACCATTCATCCAGGTTCCCAAAACATCAGTTTTGGCTCGAAAGACCCTGATTTTACAGTTTTATTTCTAATCTCCCCTGTTCTCACCGGTCAAGCCACCAAGGGAAATATAAGTACTTGGGGTGTTTTTCAGCTACACAGCAATACTCATTACCTCGCTTTCTTCCCTTGCCTTTCTCAAACACCGCGCTCGCCATTTTCAAGAATGCTGTGTTACCCTGATAACTGCACAGTCGTGACCGAGGTGCACTGGGCGCACAGTGATAACGCGATGTAAGCGCATGAGATATACGATAACTCATGTGTGATAGAAACATGCCCCACATACCCCACAACTCCCGGTGGCAAGGGCACTATTTTGCTGCATCACAACCACCTTCAGTGCACTGGCTGCCAACAGCAGTGAACTGCCATTGTCAAAAGAGCGAGATTGCAGCAATGTTGTAACAGTGGGTTGATTGCAGGAGATGTTGCCGCGTGAGCGCGATGCTTGTTCGACTTTCAAAGGTGCTTTTGGGAACGCAATGGAGCTATGCATTAATTCGTCCGTCACCTTTCGTGCACCGCTGTTAGCAACGGAAAACTATATGTGATGACGCCATTGTAACGGTACCAAAAATTCATGACCTTTTCTACGTTTGCCATTGCGTGGAAAAAGACTTCAGCTCATTCGCATCACCATATCCGCTACTGTGAAATCATTCCGGAACTACGAAGAGAGTATACATACTGAAGTAGTGGCACAGCTGGCGGACGACTAGTCAGGCTTTGACATACGTACGTTTGTACGGTGATCCATTAGCGAATCTGGCGTGGTTATACATGAAACGCGTTACCATAGAACGTCAAGCTGAGCGTGCCCTTAGCTAGTTGCGCGTAGTGCATCGCCTACTAAGCTCACTTCATCAGTGCCGTGCATGCCCCGTTATGTATACGCGTGCATTTGCCCTTGTGTTGAGATATTTTTTATTGTGATAGCAATTATATGGACAGTCTCAGCTGGTTTTCGTCATCGTCACCGCAACCACCATCATGCACCGTGTATGTATACATATCTGTGTGACGCTACAAAATGGAGACACGTCGTGGTCCAGCTGCCATGCATTTATTCTAATGCACGCGCACTTCCTCTTCAACGGCTTCTCCTAGAATCACCTTGTTAATGCGTCACGCTTCCCGTCCCCTCGAGAAAGTCTCAGTTCAGAAGTTACTAAATAACGCTGCAGTTTGCTAACATGCACAATGTCAGAGTTTCTACGTAAAGGTAGCACAATGCGGTTTATCTCATAGTTCACAGTTGAGACCTTGCGTAGAATTTTGTTAGGTCCTTCCGCGACGGAACTCAGTTTGCCGTTGTTGGGATGCCATGGTGTCTCGTAAAGGACAAAGTCACCGACTTCGAACTCAATCGGAAGAAATTTTCTATCATAAATGACTTTGTTCTTATTGTGGTAGGCGACAGAATTGGTAACTGCAGTTTTTCACGCTTCTTCGACAATTTCTTCTCGTTGTTCTAGTACAGTAGGATAAGATGGAATTCCATACATCAGGAAGGAAGGTGCGTAGCCGGTCACTTTGTGGGGTGTTCTGTTGTATTCGTCAATTACCTCCGGAAGCAGCTTAGTCCAAGACTTCTGTGGTTCGTCATTGATGTTACATTTAAGTCTCGTTACAGTAGTCTGGTTTGTCCGCTCGTTCATGCTGTTGCATTGTGGATGATGAGATGAGGTGAATAGTTGGTGTATACGAATATGTTTTAAAAACTGCTTGAATTTTCCTGTAGCAAATTTTGTTCCACGA